ATTATTATTATTATTATTATTATTATTATTATTATTATTATTATTATCTATCCAAAGCACGTGCAGCACGAAGTTTCTCTCTCTCCCACCGCTTCCCCCACCTCTCGCCCGCTGCCGTCTCGTCTCTTTCCTCATTGGCTGGAGGTCCAGCCCTCCCCTTCGCTGATTGGTTCCGACGCGCTGATTGGTTCCGACGCGCTGCGATGGAACGGAAAATTCCCGGGCCAACGTTCTAACCACGCCCACCGAGAGCAGCTGCAATCTTACCTACCATCGGTGACGCTTTTGCGGGTCGAGTTGGGAACGAGGACGTCGATTCACACGGGAGTCCTAGGGTAGGAGTAAGCTCCGCCGGGTCGGAAACTTACGTGCAACGGGGAGGAAAAGCGTGGGAAGTGGAGCCCCCGGCTTCTAGGGAGACTTTCCCCCAATATTAAGGGGAAATCCAGAAGTTTTAATGCGGGGAAACTGGCGCGTGAGAAACGCGTGCGTGCAAGTTTCTATTGTGCTTTCTTGAAACTCGTATAGGGGTTGCTTCTTGCATACCCAAACTCGATCAGACTATTTCCCGTACAGGGATCGACTAATCGCGTGGTTTCTTCTGCTGCGAATTTCTTTTTTTATAAAAACACATTTTAAATGTTTAAAAAGTTTCTTTTTTTTTCCCCGAGTCGTCTTATTACAAGCCAAGAGGCCAAACAATGAAAATCCTTGTGCCCCTTTTGAGAGGGTGATTTTTTTAAAAAAGATTTTATTTTTTAAAAAATCATCTTTATGCCAGGTTTTGCTGTTTTCAAAGTTCTTCGAGGTTGGAAGAACAAAACTGGCTTTTTAAAATAAAAGGTTTTGGGTTTTTTTTGCAAAAGATCTCCCATTTGGTAAAATAAAACAAAAAACAACCCTGGAGTGATGTCAACTTATTCCTTCCCCTATATGGGATCTTTCGGACTTTCCTTTAAAAGGAGAAGTTGGCTGAGGTCGAAGGAATCCAGCTGTTAATCGTGATTTTGTGTTTTTTTTAAAAAAAAAATACTTAGGGGCAGTTTTGATACCTCTGTGTATTGTTTGTGCTGGATTGTTCCTGTGAGTTGGGCAATTTGGTATATTGTTTGTGTTAGATTGTTGTGAGTTGAGCAGTTTTGGTGTATTGTTTGTGTTGGATTGTTGTGAGTTAGGCAATTTAGTATATATTGTTTGTGCTGGATTGTTGTTGTGAGTTACCCAGAGACAGATGAGATGGGTGTCATTAAAAATATTTATTTCCTCCAGTTCCCCCTGCCTTTCTCTCTCTTTCTAGCTTTCCCTCTCTCACACATACACTGACACACACATCCTGAATACGTGCAGGCACACACATAAGAGTTAGCCCTTGACTTTTAACCACGATCCTGCCCAAAATTTCTGTAGTGAAGTGAGTTTTGCCCCCATTTTATGACCTTTCCTGCCTTCATTGTTAAGCGAAACATTGCCATTGATAAGCTAGTAACCTGGTTGTTAAATGAATCTGGTTTCCCCATTGAATTTACTTGCCAGAAGGTCGCAAAAGGGGGAAATCGCATGACCCTGGGACATTGCAGACCTCATAAATACGAATCAGTTGCTAAACATCTGAATTCTGATCATGGGACCAAGGGAGTGCTTGTGACGGTCATAAGTGTGAAAAATGGCCCTACCTCGCTTTTTTTTTTCAGTGCCATTGTAACTTTGGACAGTTAATAAATGAATGGTTGTAAGTCTCTACATGCTTCTAGATTATTATTACTATTATTATTATTATTTTATCTTTAGTGAGATTCACAGTCTTTGGGGCTGGTTGGTAGCTCAATAGCTCGAGTCCTAACCAAGGACCTAGGAACTGTTCAGGTAGCGTCGGAGGATATATGCTGTTCCAAGTAGGGTGGTTTTTTGTAGAATCAGGGTATTCAAGTCTGATAAATTCAGGATTTCCAAACAGCGAGGCAGCCCTTTAGGTGTTGCTCCAAGGGCTCCAATTACAATTGGGATAACACACAATTTCTTTTTGCAAAGTCGCTCAACTTCAGTTTGTAAGTCCCGATACTTTGTGATATTTTTCTTGCTGTGTGTCTACAACTCGTGCATCACCAAGTATTGCAATGTCAATGACTATTATTATTATTATTATTATTATTATTATTATTATTATTTTATTGCTATTACTAGTAGTAGTACTACTACTACTATTACTGTTCCCTCCAGAATTTAACAGTTCTTTTATTTAGATACTAACAAGAAAGATATAGGCTAGGTGTGATTTTAATAAGTTTTTATTAGACTTAAAAAAGTAGAAATCACTACCAGAGCTTCCTTCTTCCTTCTACAACCTTTGGGTGAAACTGTCAATCAGAATAGAGCTGGAAGGCACCTTGGAGGTCATCTAGTCCAGCCCCCTCCTCAAAGCAGGAGACCCTGTACCATTCCAGACCACTGGCTCTCCAGTCTCTTCTTAAAACCCTCCAGTGCTGAAGCACCCGCAACTTCTGGTGGCAAGTAGTTCCACTGGTTAATTGTCCTCCCTACTGGGAAGTTTCTCCTTAATTCCAGGTTGCTTCTCTTCCTGGTTAGTTTCCATCCATTGCTTCTCATCCTGCCCTCATGTAGCTTATTTTCGTCCCAAAAAACTAAGCCCGACCACATAGTTTTCGTAGCAAAGCATGAGTATCGAGCTAGTAGTGGAATCCTGCTAACATGTCTCCCCCAGTCCTTCTTTTCTCTCGACTTAGCCAAACCCAAATCCTGCAACGCTTCTTCATAATATGTTTTAGTCTCCGGGCCTTTCATCGTCTTAGTTGCTCTTCTCTGCACTCTGTCTCAGCACCTGTTTTTGTGACATGGTGACGAGATTGTTGGCTGATAAAAACAGAGGATTTGGAGCGCGTTGGAGTTCCTGACTCCTGACCCTGTTGATTTTCGAGAAGTGAAAGGATACTTTAATGTAGTCCTCGACTTCACCACCACAATTGAGAGTAGGATATTCGTTGCTGGGCGAGAGCGGCTGTTAAGTGAGCCATTCGTGATTTGATGGCCTTTATTTCCCATGGGTGGTTAAGCGAGAGAGAGGGTAGCCGTTCAATGGATCATGTGGTTGTTGAGTGAAGCGGGTTTCTCCCTGTTGACTTGGCTGAAAGTCGGATGGGAAGGCCACAAATGTGATTGCGTAACACATACACACACACTCGCAAAGATGCTGCAGCCATCATGAATACGTGCTGGTTGCCAAGCATAAGTGATAATTGGGATAAGTGCGATTCAGCGCCATTGTGTCACTTCAATCTAACAGATAATCAGAGTTGGAAGGGACCTTGTAGGTCATCTAGTCCAACCCCCCGCCCAAGCGGGAGACCCTACACCATTTCTGACGGAAGGCAGTCTAGTCTCGTCTTGAAAGTCTCAAGTGAGGGCGCTCCCACAACTTCTGTAGGAAGTTGGCACCCACCCTTCTCCTAGAAAAGTGAAATATCCTAGGAAATATTAAAAAGGCAGAATATTTCCTCTAAAAAGAATAGAAACTACGAAGCAGAAACTCACCCCCACGAAGCAGAAACCTGCCCCCACCTTTGTTAATGAGTGAGCCATTAAGGCATGGGCCGGAATAGTTTACATAACAAAGATCTCCAGGTAAAGCTACAGCAATTGCCAAAAGCCCTTTTCAGTGCATCATCATGCAGCCAGGCTCAACCAAGCCTGGAACTCAGGACAGCCTACAGAGCTGCCCCTGCATGGCCTCATGGGAGTCTGACAACCAATCAGAATACAAGCTCCAATTCAAATCCCAACAAAGGTTATCAAACCCAGGCACTCTCAGCACCTCAACCCATTTTCTTGATCCTTTCCTTCACCTTGAAGCATGTGGTCATCCTTCCTTTTCACTCTGGGGCTCCAGGCCATGTGGTCCTCCTGTCCAACATTAAACCTTCCAAACAGCCTCCAAGTTTCCAGGGTCTTTTCCCCACTTGGAACTGAACGCAGAAGGACATTTTCTTCCAACACTTCCAAAGGCAACTTCTGTTCCATGGATTGATTGTTCTCCCTGTCAGAAAGTTTATCCTTACTTCCAGGTTGAATCTCTCCTGGATCAGTTTCCATCCATTATTCCTTGTCTGGTGCTTTAAAAAATAGCTTGACCCCTTCCTCCTCTCTGTGGCAGCCCCTCAAATATTGGAAGACTGCTCTCCTGTCTCCCCTGGTCCTTCTCTTCCCTAGACTAGCCAGGCCCAGTTCCTGCAACCGTTTTTCATATGTTTTAGTCTCCAGTCCCCTCATCATCCTGGTTGCTCTTCTCTGCACTTTAAAGTCTCAACATCTTTTTATAGTGTGGTGACCAAAACTGGATGCAGAACTCTAGGTGTGATCTTCTTACCTATGGTTAAAACCGTGTATCAGGACTGAGGTAAATATGAGGCATTAATCTCTGGAACTTAAAAAAATCAGCCAGAGGAGAAAAAGTATTTGGAAATATTCCCACAGAATTTCATATACATGTACAACCAATTTCCAGTCCCTGGTCCTTCTCTTCACTAGACTAGCCATGTTGTCAGCTGGTGCTCCATTCAAAATCCAGGAAAGAAATACTTAGACTCTTGTAATTAGAGAAAAGATATCTTTTACTGGAAGTCAGTGGTAGCAACAAGAAATTCTGAATCTGGGTAATTAGGCACGCACATCACATATATCAAGGGAGTGAAATGTTCCCATCCGCAACGGTTCTTCCAATTAAAAGTTGTGAACTTCATCGTGTGGACATCTCCAGCTGGTGATGATTAGTTGACCTTGGTTTACTCAGATAAAGGGTTGCAGTCGTGCAGAGAAGAGAAAGCTAAGCAGGAATGAGACGTCCTCCCCAGTTTATACAATATTAGTTAGCAACATTTGCAGCTTACATCCCATACATTTCCCACTTCCACCACCACCCCGTTACTCATGGCAGCCAGAAAGAAGCAAAGGAAAAGAGGAAGATCTTGAAGGCTGACCACATGCCCAGTTCCTGTAACCGTTTTTCATATGTTTTAGCCTCCAGTCCCCCAATCATCCTGGTTGCTCTTCTCTGCACTTTTTCTAGAGTCTCAATATCTTTTTATAGGGTGGTGGCCAAAACTGGATGCAGTACTCTAGGTGTGGTCTTACTAAGGCTTTATAGAGCAGTATTAGTACCGCCCTTGATCTGGATTGTATCTCTCTGTTAATAAAATTTAGGATTGCATTAGCTTTTTTGGCTGCTGCTGCACATGGCTGGCTCCTATTTAGCTGGTTGTCCACTAAGACTCCAAGATCCCTCTCTCAGTTCCTGCTACTGAGCCTGGTTTCACCCGGTTTATATGTGTCCTTTGAGTTTTTCTTGCCTAAGTGTAGGACAGTAGAAAGTAAAGTCTTACAATTAGTTCTTACCAAAAGCTGGGAAACTCTGGTCAACCCATTGAACAGAAGTTGTGGGAGCATCATCACTTGAGACTTTGAAGAAGAGATTGGACTGCCATTTTTCAGAAATGGTGTAGCTTGGGTGGGGGGGTTGGACTAGATGACCTACAAGGTCCCTTCCAACTTTTGTTATTCTGTTAATATTGTGTTAATAACGTTTTCTCAGCTTCCTCTTTGGGAATGAAGATGTTTCTCCTTGTTAAATTTGATGGAATATCTTTGATTGGCTTGAAACATTTAATGCTTGAAAGAGAAACGTTATTTGCTGAACTTTGGCTCCTGGCCAAATTAAAAGGATCTTGGCTAGTCTGTCAGCCCAGAACTAGAGTAGCATAAAATTGATCTGCCTTGCCCTTCGAACAGGGTTGGTTTCTGCTTTTCAGTGCCCGGAACTGATTAAAACGACAACAGCCTAGTTCCCCTTCCACTGTCAACCAGTGGGAAACCACCTTTGCCCGTGAAATGGGCCTACAAGGCCATAAGTTTCCACAGATAGGTGGGTGGAGGTTGGGCTAGAAGACCTCCGGAGCCCCTTTCGATTATTCTGTTAGTCTGCTCCTTCAAGTGACCTGTGTGAATTCAGCATTTTGTTTGGTTCCTTATTTAATGCAGATTGCAGAATAACAAGAGTTATTCTTGAAGGGACCTTGGAGATCTTCTAGTCCAACCCACCCCCTCAAGCATGGACCATTCAGTCAATCAGAATAGAGCTGGAAGGGGCCTCGGAGATCATCTAATCCAACCCCCTGCTCCAGGAGGAGATTCTGTATCGTTCCAGACAAGGCGCCTGTCCAGTCTCTTCTTAAAATCCTCCCATAATTTCTGAAGGCAAATTCTTCCACGGATCAATTGCTCTAACTGTCTGGAAATTTCTCCTAAATTCCAGGTTGCTTCTTTCTTCTCTCCTAGGTTAGTTTTTATCCGTTGCTTCTCGTCCTGCCTTCACGGGCTTTGGAGAATAGCTTGACTCCCTCTTCTTTGGGGCAGCCCCTCGGATATTGGAAGGCTGCTATCCTGTCTCCCTTGGTCCTTCTTTTCATTAAAACTAGACCAGGGTCCCCAAACTTGGCAACTTTTAAGACTTGCTGGCTGGAGAATTCTGGGAGTTGAAGTCACAAGTCTTAAAGTTGCCAAGTTTGGGGAACCCCCGAACTAGACAAACCCAAATTCCTGCAAACTGTTCTTTATATGTTTTAGCCTCCGGTCCCCTTAATCCTCTTTGTTGCTCTTCTCTGCACTCTTTCCGGGGTCTCAACATCTTTTTTTACATCGTGATGAACAAACCTGAATGCAGAATTCCAAGTGTGGCCTTACCGAGGCCTTACAAAGCGGTATCAACACTTCATGGGATGTTGCTTCTGTCTCTCTGTTGATGCAGCCTAGAACTGCGTTGGCTTTTTTGGCAGCTGCAGCGCACGGCTGGCTCATATTGAAGTGATGGTCCAAGATCCCTCTTGCAATTACTGTTATTCAGCCATGTCCTACTTATTGGTGCAGGGATTCTGTGTAGGTCTGCGTCACAGAGTGAGCTCCCGCTACCTGTCCCAGCTTCTGCCAACCTAGCAGTTCGAAAGCACGTTAAAAAAAATGCAAGTAGAAAAATAGGGACCCCTTGGGTGGGAAAGTAATGGCGTTCCGTGCGCCTTCGGTGTTTAGTCATGCCGGCTACGTGACCACGGAGACGTCTTTGGACGGTGCTGGCTCTTCGGCTTTGCTAACGGAAATGAGTAGCATCCCCTAGAGCCAGAAACAACTAGCACGGATGTGTGAGGGGAACGTGTGTTTAGTCATGCCGGCCACATGACCACGGAGACATCTTCGGACGGTGCTGGCTCTTTGGCTTTGCTAACGGAGATGAGTAGAGCCAGAAACAACTAGCACGGATGTGTGAGGAGAACCTGTAGCTTTACCTTACCACTTCAAGGAGATCTGATCAGCCGTTCATTGGTTGGCCTAGCACTATTTCCGAAGAAAGATGTTATACAATCGCTGATAGCTATAACTGAGCCTGGAACTGTGATCCTAAGGGGTTTGTGGGTCGTACGTCAGCCTGTACCTTAGATCGGATTGGCATTTTGTGTAATAATCTATGTACATTGCGGCTTTGGAAACCATATTGAGACCACGTGCTCCCACGCTGCCACATTTTGAGCCTGGGAAAGTGGAAGGGGGAGTGCGTGTAGTTAGACATAATTACACTCTTTTTGTCACGCCCCTGTTTGGAACCTGTTTCCGACGGGAGGTCGAACTGCTGACAGGGAGTGGGAGTGTGGCTCCAGTGGCTGTGGAGGAAACTGGGGAAGGGCACAGTCTGGCTGGGCATTCAGAGGGAGACCTAGGCCCACCCACTCTTCATCCTAGGGCACACAGGAAGGAATGGAGACGGGAGCAATGTGGGTTACAGGGGAGGAAAAGGCCCTGATCCCCTTCATTAGCTGCAGCTGGGAAAACAAATTTTTAAAAGGGCATTTGCACACAGCACCTTGCTGGAAGCAAAGCGTGCATTATCTTTGTTTGTCAAGTCTTATCTGGATTCTGATGTCCTCTCAACTGTATGTGTTTCGTCATCTTTTGGAAGTTGCAATTCCTTATCCTGCCCTGTCTTGTTAATTGCTGCAGCTGTGGTTTGTGTTGGTTTTTATTTATAATGTATGTGTACTTTGGGTTCAGACAGAATATCTTCCCTTTAAAAACTGTTCTTGGGAGAGTTTTTTTCTGGACATTGGAGACCAAATTGGAGGAATCAAAGGGACTTTACCTACTTTTATGACTTGGTTGCTTTTTGTGCCACACCCTCGGTCATCACACTTTTTCTACTTAAAGGCCATGTTATTTTGTGCATAAGCGAGAGGAAGTCTTAACTTGGGATGGATGGCGATTGGGGCATGTGATGTGATGATGGGTGCAGGGGGATGAATTTGTAATTTTTTTACTTATTGCAAAGAAGCCCGGAACTTTCAGATTCGGGATTCCCCAGTTGCACCAGTTTACTACCCAAAAATAAAAAGAACTTTTGAGAAGGTGCCTGTCTCGGAGTGATTGGTTGGAGTGGAAGTTTGCTGACGTCTATTTTACAAAGCTGAAAGGCAAGTTTTAGAAAACCACCCCTTACTTTGTTTTTATTCCTTCCAATTGAAAACACGAACGATTTGGGGTGGTGCCTGTTTGCCTAAATCAGGGGTTCGAGGCCCCTGGCACCCCCATTGTTATCATCGTCACCAAATAAGGAGATAATTCTGCCGCAGTCTCGTATGAACATATTGTACCCGGGGGATTATATTTCTGTGTGAGTCGTCAACAGGGTGACATTCTTGGCACAAGCATGAAAGAACGCTCGCCATTCCCAATTTAAGGTCCTTTTTTTGTGCCCTTGGCAAGCAGCCCAGTGGGGCAGAAGTTAATTTTCGGAGCGTATTTGGGTGGCAACGTCAAGGCTGCCTTATTCCTTTACGCTGTTCTCTTCCTTTCTCCCTGGCGGTTGGAGTTCAAGATTACGCTGTACAAAAAAATGCGACTTGCTAGCCAGAGGAGACCCTGAGGGCCAACCTATCTGACTTTTAGCCTTTCCTGATGTCATTTCTAGTTTTTAGCTACATCACGAGGACTAGAAACATCATAAGGACTAGACACAAATACCAGAGGTTTTTTTTTAAAAAAACAGGAAAAATAGTTAAGTAAGTTTTGGGCCATTTTATGACGTTTCTTGCCGTAATATTTTCATTGAAACTTTTTAAATGGGTATTTTCTTTTCTTTCTTTCTTTCTTTCTTTCTTTCTTTCTTTCTTTCTTTCTTT